TCAACAAATCCTCAAGGCAGTCCTATATCTTGAATCAAAAGAGCAATATATATCACAATAAATACATGAGAAAGAATAAAAACACTAGTAGAACAAATGCACAAAAGAGAAAGAGAAAGAAAATGTATCTTATCACTATAAAAAAACACCACACAGCAAAGACAAACAGTAAAAGGGAAAGAAAGGAACAAAAGAAATATAAAACAACCATAAAAAATTAATAAAGTGGCATGAGCAAGGCAGTACCTTTCAATAACCCTGAATGTAAATGAATTAAATTCACCACTTAAAAGATACAGACTGGCTGAATGAATTAAAGAGCTAGACCCAACTATATGCTATCTGCAAGAAACTCCATTCACCAATAAAGACACACATAGACTAATAGTAAAGGGGTAGCAAAAGATATTCCACACAAATGGAAACTAAAAATGAGTAGGAGTCACCATACTTATATCAGATAAAATAGACTTCAAACCAATAACCATAAAAAGAGACAAAGAGTAACATTATAAAATGAAGAAAGGATTGATGCAGCAAGAAGATGTAATAATCATAAATATATATGCACCCAGATACATAAAGCAACTGTTACTGGACCAAGGTAGAGATATACCCCAAAACAATAATAGTTAGGGACTTTAGCATGCTGCTGTCAGCAATGGAAAGATCATCTAGAAAAAAAAAAATAGCAGAGAAATATTGAATTTAAACAGCACTTTAGACCAAATGGACTTAACAGACGTTTATGGAACTTTTCATCCAAAAACGGCAGAATATACATTCTTCTCATCAGCACGTGGATCATTCTCCAGGATAGACCACATGTTATAAATTCTAAAACAAAATTTAAAAGATTGAAATCATATTAAGTATATTTTCAGACAACAATGGAATAAAATTAGAAATTAACAACAAACAAAACTCTGGAATCTACATAAATGCATGAAAACTAAACAACATGCTCTTAAACAACCAATGGGTCAAGAAATAAAGCAGGAAATCAAAAAATCCCTTGAAACAAATGAAAATAAAAGCACACCTTAGCAAAACCTGTGAGATACTGCAAAAGCAGTACTAAGAGGAAATTTTATTGTAGTGAAAGCTTACATTAAAAGAATAGGAAGACTTCAAATGAACAACCTAACATTCCACCTCAAAGAACTACAAAAATAAGAATGATCCAATCCCCAAATTAGTAGATGGAAAGTAATAATTTAGATCAGAGCAGAACTAAATAAGAAAGAGACCAAAAAAACACACAAAAGATTAGCAAAACAAAAGTTTATTCTTTGAGAATATAAACAAAATAAGCAAACCAATAGCTATACTAACTAAAAAAGGAAGAGAGAAGACCCAAATGAGAAAAATCAGAAATGAAAAAGGAGACATTACAATTGATACCACAGAAATACAAAGAATCATTGGAGACTAGTATGAACAACTGTATGCCAACACATTTGAAAATCTGGAGGAAATGGATAAATTTCTGGATACATAAAAACTACCAAGACTGAACCAAGAAGAAATACAAAACCTGAATAGACCAATAATTAGCAATGAGATTAAAGCAGTAACAAAGAAAATCCTAGGACCAGATGGCTTCATTGATGAATTTTACCAGACTTTTAAAGAAGAATTAATACCAATTCTCTTCAAACTATTCCAAAAAATTGAAACAGAAGCTATTCTTCCAAATTCATTTGATGAAGCCAGCATCACCCTGATACTCAAATCAGATGAAGACATACACAAAAAAAGAAAACTACAGGCCAATATTCCTAATGAAAATAGATGCAAAAATCCTCAACAAAATATTAGCAAATAGAAAACAATAGCATATCAAAAACAATTATGCACCATGATCAAGTGGGATTCATCCCAGGGATGCAAGGATGGTTCAACAAACAAATCAATAAATGTGATACACCACATCAGCAAAATAAAGGACAAAAAACATATGATTATCTCAATAGAGGCAGAAAAAGCATTCCACAAAATTAAACATCTTTCATGATAAAGACTCTCAACAAAATAGGTATAGAAGGAAAATATCTCACCACAATAAAAGCCATATATGATAAACCCACCACCAATATCATTCTGAATTGAGAAAAGCTGAAAGCTTTTCCTCTGAGAACAGGAACAAGAAAAGGATGCCCACTTTCACCACTTTTATTCAACATAATATTGGACATACAAGCCAGAACAATCAGGCTAGAGAAAGAAATAAGGGGCATCCAAATTGGAAAAGATCAAGTTAAGCTGTTCCTGTTCAGAGATGACATGATTCCTTATACAGAAAATCCTAAAAACTCTGCCAAAATAAGTCCTAGAGCTGACGAACAAATTCAGCAAAATTGCAGGATATGAAATCAATACACAAAAATCAGTAGCATTTTTATACACCAACAATGAACTAGCAGAAAAAGAAATCAAAAAAGCAAGCCCTTTACAATAGCTACTAAAAGAGTAAAATACCTAGGAATAAATATAACCAAGCAGGTGAAATTTCCCCCCAATGAGAACTACAAAACACTACTGAAAGAAGTTAAAGAGGACACCAAAAGATGGAATAACATTCCATATTCATGACTTGGAAGAATTAATGTGAAAATGTCCATACTAATTCAATGCAATCCCCATCGAAATACCAATGACATTCTTCACAGAAGTAGAAAAAACAATCTTAATATTCATATGGAACAACAAAAGACCCCAAATATCCAAAGCAATGCTGAGCAAAAAAAAAAAAAAAAAAAGCCAGAGTCATTATACTACCTCACTTCAAATTATACTACAAAGCTATAGTAACCAAAGCAGCATGGTACTGGCATAAAAATAGACACATGGACCAATGGAACAGAATAGAAAACCCAGAAATTAACCCTCGTACTTACAGCCAACTGATCGACAAAGGCATAAAGAACATACAATGGGAAAAGGACAGCCTCTTCAACAAATGGTACAGGGAAAATTGGATACCTATAGGAAGGAAGGATGGAAGGAAGGAAGGGAGGACAAACCATAATACACTGAACTTTCAGGAGGAGAAAACAGAATTGTTGTTACTAAAAGTGTGAAAGGGAGAGTGGGAGAGGGATCAGCGAGAAATTGGTTAATGGACACAAAGAATGACTACATATTGTAATGATGAATATGCTAATTATCCTGATTTAATAGTCACATATTGTACACAAGTATTGATAGTCAACTCTGTACCCCACAAATATGTATTATCGCTTATGTTTCAATAAAAAAATTTCAACATATGAATTCTGGGGGTACACAATTCAGTCTATAACTATTTTCATATTTAAGTGAAAGAAGTCAGACACACAAAAAAGTATTTATTGTGTGATTCCAAATTAATCTGTATGGGAGTAGATTAGGAAAAAGTCAGGACAATTGTGATTTCCTTCTGGAATTAAGTAATTAGAGGAAACATAAGGGAGATTTGGGGTGCTCACAATGGCCTGTTTTTTGACCTTGGTAGTATCTATACAGGAGTGTTCATTTGTAAAGATTTTTTATCCAAATCCTTATAATTCATTTATTTGCCTGTATCTGTCTTATAGGTCAATAAAAAATTATTGAAAATTTAAAAATTCAAACCAAGCTATAAAAAAGAAAGTATCAACTTTTGGACATGTACTCACCATAAAAACACAAGGACCAGATCAACACAAGCAAATTGAAAGAAACTAGCACTGACCCAACCAGCACTTCAAATATTTGTAATTTTGGAAGCAGATGATAAAATAAATAAGTGTAAGGGACGGCCCATGGCTCACTCGGGAGAGTGCGGTGCTGATAACACCAAGGCCACTGGGTTCGGATCCTATATAGGGATGGCTGGTTGGCTCACTGGCTGAGGGTGGTGGTGACAACACCAAGCCAAGGGTTGAGATCACCTTACTGGTCATCTTTATATAGGAAAACATATAATTAATTAATTAATTAATTAATTAATTGATTAATTAATAAGTAAGTAAGTAAGTAAGTGTAAAGATAAAACAGAGGGAATAAAAACATAGTCAAAGACCAAAATACCATTGGTTTTGGATCAGATAGATTGAAAAAGACCCAAATAGCCCTCCTAAAAATAAAAAATATATAATCATTGAAATTTTTAAATTTTAATTTATGGGTTAAAGATTAGATTAGACATAGCTGAAGAATAAATTGGTAAATTGGTCAGCTGGAAGACATGTCTGAGGAAAATATTCAATATATTACCCTAAGGAAAAAAAGATGCATACGAATGCACATATATGTATATTTATGTGTGTATGTGCATGTATTCTTGAGAAGACAGCCATTCTCTCTCATCTGAGAAAAGAGAGAATGTCTATCTTCTCAAGAATACAAAAAGATACAAATCTATAATAAATACCAAACAAAAAAAGACCAACAACTAAATCTACACCTAGCAATATTATAGTGAATCTGGGGACAATTAAAATGATTATCTATCTATCTAATTCTCTTTCCTAGTTAATAATGATCTGGTTATTGCTAACAAAATGCACAAATCAAACATTCTTTCTTGTGATCTTTCCAATACTGTTCCATTGTATATGACATACTCCTGTTGAATTAATTTTATAGCTATTAAGTCTTCAAATGGTTTTAAAGCTTCTTTGAAATTTTACATCCTTAAGGACCTATATAATATTTGCCTTACTTTAAGATCTCTCCCCAAATAATTTTTTATGCTTTATTTTCCAAAACAATCACTGATGGCTATGGAAATGATTGATTAATGTCCTCTTAAAGCTGAAATAGAAAGTGTCAGTCTTCACAATTAAAAAATTATCATCAAAAAAGAGTTATCATCAGAAAAACTTCTTAAATATTTGTACTTTAGGTGTCAGCAGTATCTCCTCATAATGATTTTTGCCAAATTTCTGAGTTTGGTAATGATCTATTACTATGCATAATATGTTTGTGTATACATTTTTTGAATGATTTGTCAAAATTTTCTATTCTTGTTCCAGCAAAAATAGATCCTCCAGTCATAAATATAACCCAAGTTAATGGATCTTTCTTGGTGATTCTCCATGCTCCAAATTTGCCATATAGAGACCAAAAGGGAAAAAATATATCAGTGGAAAATTACTATGAACTAGTATACCGCGTTTTTATAATCAACAATTCACTAGAAAAGGTAAGTGTAGATGAACAGATAAGTTTGGTAATTTTTTCTTTTGTTTATTTGACTGACATTTTGGCCATATTATACATTCTCTTTTTTGCTACTCTATCTCCTCTTATTTTTCTTTACTTTTTAAAAATTTTTTCTCACATTTACCACCATTGATAAACATTTAGTGCTTGCATCAACAGAATTTGTGTGTGTGTGTGTGTGTTTGTGTGTGTGTATGTGCCCTTTCAGTCCCTCAGCTTATCTCCCCTTGGTCTTCCCTACATAACTAAAGATTGCTATTAACAATATTTAATTTCATTTGACTTCCACAAATGTTCATTTCTATGGGCTTTACAACACACCGTATTGTGAAGTAGTTTTTGAATCTCAGCATTATATATTTGTACAAAGTTTGCTATGATATTCTAATCCACCATCAGTGCCTTTATCTGGGTTTGGGGGTGAAACAGAATGTTCTTTTTTTGGTGTCTACCTAAGATAGGCAGGCTTCCTTTGGTTGTATGGAACAGAAGCCCCATTCAAACTTATTCATATACAAAAAGGGAGGGGAGGGGAGGAGGTTTATTAGGAGATAACAAGCAATCTGCTCTGTCTCTCCGACTTTCTTTCTGTGGCCATATCCACAGTTATCTCTGCAAGTCTGCTCCATTCTCCAGTTCAAATTCCTGAAAAAGAGACTAACCACTGGATCAATCACTCAGCAGCCCTCAGGGAGATGTCATGTGGCACCCACAGGGACACTCTACTGTCCCTTTCCCAAGTTACAGTCAGCCTCTGGATCCTGGGGAAGGAGAATGTGTGTGGGCGGGAACCCTACAACCAATCTACTACCACGATTATGCTAATTTTAACAAAAGAGAGCAGTGACTTACTGGAAGCCATTTACCATTTTTTTTTTTTTTTTTTTTTTTTTTGAGTGCAGGAGCAAAAATTATACGAAGGGGCTCACAGAGTCGTTGAAATCGCAGCTCTCACACCTCGCTCTGGTTTCTGTGTGGTGGCTGAACTGTATCAGCCCATGTTAGACAGAGGAAGTCAGAGAAGTGAAGAGAGATGTGTGAAAATCCCATGAGGTCGGATGGAGTGCTCAGCAGCATGGAAAGCAAGAGCTCTCTGAGAATGGGAAGGCGGCTGGTGTTTGAAGGATCTTAAAGTTGTTTCATATTTTCTTAAAGCAATGGTCACCATTACACTTTGGGGATGTCTTTGTTTATCCATTCTTTCCTCCTTTGTATTTCATATGTAAACTAAATTTGAACACCACTCCCCCCAAAATTAAAATTTAAAGAAGAGGCAGAGAATAAAGGGCTCTATGAAATACAGAACTTTATTTCTGAATGTAACATCCCTGATAATAATATTCATTCTTCTAAGACAGCAAAATAAAAATGTGAAAGCCAAGAAATAGTATTCATTTAATGAAATGTTGAAATAGTTTTTCTAAAATAGCATTACAGACTAAAGTAATTCTGAAGCATCCATTTTTCACTTTTGAGCCAGTTAATTTGACATAGATATGTCAATTTAAAAATTTAATATAGGGCCGGCCCGGTGGCGCACTGGAGAAGTGCACCGGTTGGGAGCGTGATGGCGCTCCCGCCGAGGGTTCGGATCCCATGTGGAGACCGGTTCCCACTCACTGGCTGAGCGCGATGCAGGCGCAACACCGAGGGTTGCGGTCCCGTTGCCGGTCCCCAGTGCGGGCGTGACACCGAGGGTTGCGATCCTGTTACCGATCAGTAAAAAAGACAAAAAGGGGAAAAAAAAAATTTAATATAAATAAATATTTGCCTTTACATTTCTGTTTTATATGAATATACTTTTTCATACATTTATTTTCTATTATGAAATATTTCTACTTAATGAACAAAATTTTTGTTTTAAATTCTATTTTATGTAAACAAAAACAGTATTTGAAAAGAAAAACAACTTCTCATGATCTGGGGATTAGTAACTGGATTAAGACTATCAACAGTAACATTTAAATATTGAAAAAGGCCTATAATAGAGCTTCTGGTTACATACAGTTATTCTCAGTAACAAATGACTTAAAAATCATTGCAAACTACATGGAGAGAGAGAGAATAAAAAAGCTAGAGAATTAGTTTTATTGCTTTTCCCAATAGTCAGAAAACATTGATTTGAACATTTAAAGCCTGGAGACTGAAAAAAAAAAACTTTTATCTATGATTTTCGGATTATGAAAAAACATTTTTTGTACTACCTTTTTCAACTTTTTTGGGGGGTGGGGGGACCATGGTCGTGAATTAAGAACAATGAGATGGATAAGGAGTAAGAACTGTGTGTGGCCAATAGTATTTAAGCGCATGAAATTCAATAGTCCTGAAGCCTGATTTAAAAAAACAACAAACATTATTGTTGCCTCATGAAAGCTATTAGGTAGCAGAGGGAGTAAAATTGGGAATGTGAAAAGGGCATATCCACTCTGACAAAAGGAATCTTGGAAAGTGTTCTACAGATAAGGTTGAAGTGAATGAATGAAACCATGAGAAACCAGGAGGCCCCATAAGCAGATGAGCCTATTTCATCTTGGGCTGTATCAAACTTGTTTGAGGGAGGGAGCCTTTTTCTTTTAGATTCCACATATGAATGAGATCATGCAATAATTTTCTTCCTATATCTGGCTCACTTCACTCAGCATAATGTCCTCCAGGTCTGTCCATGCTGTGGCAAATGGGAGGAGATCCTCCTTTTTTAAGGCAGTATAATATTCTCTGTAAATATATATATTAGGTTCTTTATTTGTCCATTAATGGACACCTAGGCTGTTTCCGTGTCTTAGCTTTTGTGAATAATGCTGCAATAAACACGGGAATACATATATCTTTACAAGGTGGTAATTTCATTTCCTTTGGTTGTATACCAGGAAGAGGAATTGCTGGGTCATATGGTAGTTCTATTTTTCATCTCTTTAGGAACCTCCATACTATTTTTTCATAATGGCTGCACCAATAGTGTACAGGGGTTTTCTTTTCTCTACATCTTTTCAAATACTTATCTCTTGTCTTTTTCATAATAGCTATACTAACAGGTAGTGAGGTGGTATCTCATAGTGGTTTTAACTTGTATTTCCCTGGTGATTAGTAATGTTGACCATCTATTCGTGTATTTGTTGACCATTTTTATGTCACCTTTGGAGAAATGTCTGTTAAGTCCTTTGCCCATTTATTAATTGGATTTTATTTTTCTCATTATTGAGTTATAAAGCTCATTATAAATCTTACATATTTAACTTTTTATCTGACATATGGTTTGCAAATTTTTTTTCCGAGTCTGTAAGTTGTCTTTTTATTTTTTTGATTATTTTCTTTGCAGTGCAAAAGCTTAGTGTGATGTAGTCCCATTTATTTATTTTTGTTTTTGTAGTCTGAGTTTTTGGTGTGATATCTTAGAAATCATTGTCAAGGCCAACATCAAGAAGATTTTCTCTGTATTTTCTTCTAAGAGTTTTATAATCTCACATCTTAGGTTTAGTTCTTTAATTCACTTTGAGTTGATTTTTGTGTATGGTTTAAGAGTCCAATTTCATTCTTTTGCATGTGGAAATCCAGTTTTCCCAGTGCCATTTATTGAATAGACTATTCTTTCCCAATTGTGTCTTCTTGGTGCCCTTGCTGAAAGTTAGTTGACCATAAATGTTTAGATTTATTTCTGAGCCCTCTATTCTGTTCATGTGACTGTTTTTATTGCAGTGCCATACTGTTTTGATTAATATAGCTTTATAATATAATTTAAAATCAGGAAGTGTGATGCCTTCAACTTTTTTTTGCCTCAGAATTTCTTTGGCTATTCAGGGTCTTTTGTGGCTCCATAAGAATTTTAGGGTCGTTTTTCTGTTTCTGTGAAGAATGACATTGGGATTTTGATAGAGATTACATTGACTCTGTATGTTGCTTTAGGTAGCATGGACATTTTAAACAATATTATTCCTTCCAATCCATGTGTATGGAATATCATTCCATTTATTTGTACTCTCTTCAATTTCTTTTCAATCTTTCATAGTTTTCTGTGTACAGATCTTTTACCTCCTTGGTTAAATTTATTTCTAAGTATATTTTATGCTATCATGAATGGTGGGATTTTTTCTTTTCTTTTTGGGTACATAGTTATTGTGTATAGAAATGCCACATATTTTTGTATATTGATTTGTATCCTGCAACTTTACCAAATTCATTATTAGATCTAGCAGTTTTTGGTGAAGTCCTTGGGGGTTTCTACATATAAGATCATGTCACCTGCAAATAGAGATAATTTTACTTCTTTCCAAACTTGTATACTTTTTATTTCTTTTTCTTTTCTAATTGCTCTTGATAGTATGTCTAGTACTATGCTAAATAGAAGTGATGAGAGTGGATATCCCTGCCTTCTACCAGATCTTAGAGGAAAAGTTTTCAGTTTCTCCCCATTGATTATGATGTTATCTGTGGGTTTTTCATAAATGGCATTTAGTATGTTGAGGAACTTTCCTTCTATACCTAAACTGTTAAGAGTTTTCAAGAAGAATGTTGAACGTTGTTGAATGCTTTTTCTTCACCAATTGATGTGATCACATGGTTTTTGTCTTTCAGTCTGTTGATGTGATGTATCACAGTGACTGATTTGTGTACATCAAACCGGCCTTGCATGCCAGGAATAAATTCCTCTTGGTCATGATGTATAAACTTTCTAATGTGTTGTAAAGTTCAGTTTCCTAATATTGTACTGAAGATTTTTGCATCAATGTTCATCAGAGATATTGGTCTGTAGTTTTCCTTTCTTGTGATGTCTTTGTCTGGCTTAGGTATCAAAGTATGCTGGCCTCATAAAATGTGTTTGGAAGTATTCCCTCCAGCTCTATTTTTTGGAAGATTTTAAGAACTAGTGGCATTAATTCTTCTTTGGAAGTCTGGTAGAATTCAGCTGTAAAGCCATCTGGTCCCAGGCTTTTCTTTGTTGCATGGTTTTTGATTACTACTTCAATCTCTTTGTTATTGATCTGTTCAAATTTTCTATTTCTTTCTGCTTCAACCTTAGTAGTATTTTTCTAGGAATTTATCCATATCCTCTACATTATCAAATTTGTTGGCATACAAATTGTTGGCATATAATAGTCTGTTATAATATTTTTAATTTACAAGATGTCTGTTGTAATGTCTACACTTTCATTTCTGATTGTATATATTTTAGGCTTTTTTCTTAGATTAGATAAGGGTGTTTTTAAAACTCTTAGTTTTATTGAGTTTTTATAGTGTCTTTCTATTATTTATTTGATTTATTTCTGGTCTGATCTTTATTATTTTCTTTCCTCTGCTAACGTTGGGTTTAGTTTGTCCTTTTTTTTAGTTCCTTGAGATGTAATGTTAGGCTATTTATTTGGAATCTTCTATCTTAAACTAGGCATTTACTGCTATAAACTTTCCCCTTAAAATTGCTTTTGCTGCATTCTATAGGTTTTGGTATGTTGTATTTCCATTGTCATTTGTCTCAAGATATTTTTTAATTTGTGTTTTGATTTCTTCTTTAATCCATTGCTTGTTCAGGACCATGTTCTTTAACTTCCACATACTTGTGAATTTTCCAAAATTCTTCCTGTTATTGATTTCTAGTTTCATACCATTGTGGTTGGAAACAACACTCAATGTAATTTTGATCTTCTTTAATGTAATAAAACATGTTTTGCGGGGCCGACCCGGTGGCGCACTGGATAGTGCGCCGCTTGGGAAGCGCGGCGGCGCTCCCGTCGAGGGTTCGGATCCCACATACAGACCGGTTCCCGCTCACTGGCTGAGCGAGGCGCGGGAGCAACGCCGAGGCTTGCGATCCCGTTGCCGGTCCCCGGTCCGGTACGGGGGCAACACTGAGGGTTGCGATCCGTTGCCGGACACGGAAAAAAGACAAAAAGACAAAAAAAAAAAAACATGTTTTGTGGCCTAACGTATGGTCTATCTTGGAGAATGTTCCATGTACATGAGAGAAGAATATGTATTGTGCTGCTGTTGGATGGAAAGTTGTGTATATATCTGTTAGGTCCATTTTGTCTATAAAGTGAAGTTTAATTCCAGAATTTCCTTATTAATTTTCTGATCTGTTCAGTGTTGAAAGTGGGTATTGAATTCCCTGACTATCATTGTATGGCTATCTACTTCTCTCTTCATGTCAATTAATATTTTTATATATAGGACCTTCAATATTGGGTGTGAATACATTTATGATGATTATGCCCTCTTGATTAATTAAGCCCCTTATCATTAAATAATGACCTTCTTTGTCTCTTGTGACAGTTTTTGACTTGAAGTCTATTTTTTTTTTTTTGTCTTTTTTCGTGTCCGGCAACGGATCGCAACCCTCAGTGTCACGCCCGTACCGGACCAGGACCAGCAATGGGATCGCAACCCTCGGCGTCGCGCCCGCACCTCGCTCAGCCAGTGAGCGGGAACTGGTCTGTTTGTGGGATCCGAAC